TTCCATATTTTTCTTTGTTAGTATCTCTCTTCTATAAACGTGTGTGTGGTAAAATTATTTTGAAAATTTAATTTTAATTTTATTCTATTTATCATCAGAAACCTTATGAGTGTATATATACATGTATAGTAAAATTATTTTGAAAGTTTTATTTTAATACTATTTATCAGAAGAAATCTTTTGGATTATTGCTTGACATTTTTCAAAAAAATTAACATTAAGTTATACAATAATTAGGTAAACACAGCCCAGATAATGCTCACAGTTAAAAAATGTTCTCTCCCTAGTAAAGTAGTGCCACACATTGGCCTTGGCCTACTTTTCCTACAAAAAGCTTGATGCAGGTGGGCATGCAGAGATATTTCCTGGCACTTGTTTGGGAGTATTTTGGTATATAGTTATTAAATCTTGACTCTAGTGAATCTTCCCTACAGTTTTATGAAGTCACACAAAAACTATGCAAGGGAACCATGAACAATGCTTCAAGCAAATATCCACATTTCCAAATGTAGACATTTAAATTCAGTGAATTGTTAATGTAGTATAGCTACATCAGAACATCTCTTAGCACCTTATGAAAATAAAGACAAAAATATGCCAACCCATCTAAGTATTTCATAAGCCTTACTCCTTGCCACAAAGTTTATACAACTGCTGAATGAACTCAGTCATTGTTGTTGAATGCCCTGAAGGCAATCATTGCTCTTTCTGGAACACTGTCTATTTTCTGTCATTTACATGTGCTGTATTTTCATTTTCCTGTTTGTTTTAAATTATGCTGGAATAATTTATAATTTAAATATATAAGTCCTCACTTTAAAGTCTGGCAAATTAAAATAAAACAATGTTCTATCCAAATATCAAATACAAAAATAAAAATCCATCTAGATCAGCTATTTTAGAACAGGAGCACTCCTCCTGTGATAACCAAGCCCCCTACCCTTGAAAAAGAAACTTCCTTTGAATCCATTAGTCCCAGCCCACTCAAGGGTGGGGAGGAGAACTCTGAGAAGAGACTTGAAGATAAGGAAGTACATACGGAAGGGGAAAAAATTTCAAGAAGAGGCTAAAGGATAAGGAAAGTCTTGAGTTCTTGGAAACTTTCTCAACTTATGTGCCCCCCTGCCCCCACCCCCACCTTGAACTACGTAACTCCCCCTCCCTGCCCAAAGCTAACCACAATGATCCAGCTTTTGTTCCTTTGCCTGATTGCTGTGATGTAGATAATAGAGTATAAAAAGCCCATTTGGTCTGCCATTCGAGGTCATGCTTGCTTCTTAAGGGCAACGACCCCTGAGCAGATATAATAAATTTCTATTGATTAATTGCATTCAAGTGGGGTCTATGCCTCCTTCTCAGCTGTGTGAGTCACAATAATCCAAGATGAAGAAATCAAACCAAAAAGAAGGCATGTCAATCATTGAAGAGAACAAACCACCAAGGTACACAGTGGCCAAGAGGGTATTTATGAGGAATGATGTTCTGAATTTGGCAAGTATGATTAGCATGGGTTCTACTTAGACAGGATCACATGGGAAGGAAGGCTTATTAAGGAAGAACCAAGTTAATTGAGATTTGAAGGATGAGAAGGAGGCAGCCACAAGGACAGGAGATACTAAAGCATTCCAGAAAGCAGAGATGGCAGGGCTAAGAATATGAGGGAAGGAGACCTTATAGACTCCAAAATAGAGAGAAAAAACTGCAAATTGAAAAGAAGTGCCTAAAAGCATGCCAAGTCAGCATTTTGTCAACCTCATTTTATAACTTTTGATATTCATACAAATTTTAATATCACTGCATTTGGAAACCATTTTTAGGTCATAGCTTTTCACTTTGTAATCACTCCTGAGCATGTGTAATAAGTGCTTAGGAATCGTAATCAATCATAAGCCAAAAAGTTAATCATAGCCATGTACTTTGCAAGGGAACATGATTCAAATCTTGTTGAATATTTTTAAAAACCTTCTGGAAAATATGAAGTGCTGGGAAAGTCTTAAAAGGTGAAGTGGCAGAATTAGGAGAAGAAAGAACTGCCCATGTTTAGAAACATATCCAAGGACCGTGTTCGACTTGCTGGTGGTAAGGAGTGAAAGGGGAGAGTCCTGGAAAATGTCCAGGTTCATGGCTCAAGCAAATGGATGTGAAGATGGGAGTAGCATGTTGTATAAAAGAAAATCTGGGCAAGGAATTAAGTTTTGGACCAGGCAGGGGAGGGTGTGGTTTTAGAGGTGTCTTTTGACACCATCAAAGGGGTGTCCCATCCCTTCCCCAGCT